ATATATGTATTATTTATATATATATATATATATATATATATATATATATATATATATATATATATATATATATATATATATATATGAGGTAGGCCTTCAAAAACTGATCGGAGAAAGAAATGGGCCCCAAAGTGAAAAGGGTTGTGAACCCCTGTGTTAGACGTTATCGAGATTTAAAATACATATATTTGCTATATTTGAAAAACATTGTGTTTATTCATGAAGCAATAGGAGTACGTACACAAGTGATGATGGCTTGAGTGGAGCTGCAAACTGGTATTGTTACAGCATGCCAGATATATGCATAATCGCATTTACTAAGAAACCCCATTAACTAAATATATAATGTTTACAAACCTAGTATTGTTTTGTAACATGTTGGAATTTAAGTGTATGAAATAAACACAAACAAATTGTTTGGAAAAACAGTCATTTCTGCTCTGGTCAACTATTTAGTCGGGTCTGATTGGTTTACTAATGTCATGTTTTTTCCTTATTTGTAAGCTACTAGAATGCTGTTCTGATTATAAATCAGCACATGTGATGATAAGAATTTATCAGATATCAGTATACATCATGCAAACACTATAAAACATGCTGGGTTGTCGTAACCCAACACTTAATCAAATATGGACAAACACAATGTTGGGTTAATTTTTTCAATGAAATTCATTCATTCATTTTCTTTTCGGCTTAGCCCCTTTATTTATCTGGGGTCGCCACAGTGGAATGAACCGGATGCAGCGGATGCTCTTCTGCCTGCAACCCACTGTCATTCACACACATACAGTACACTACGGAGAATTTTTAGCTTACCCAATTCACCAGTACTGCATGTCTTTGGACTTGTGGTGGACACCACAGGGAGAACATGCAAACTCCACACAGAAATACCAACTGACCCAGCCGAGTTTTGAACCAACAACCAGAGTTTTGAACCAAGGCAACAGCACTACCAACTGCGCCACCATGTTGCAAAATTTAAATGATGCTTTTTAATGTAATAATTGATTTTGTCCATATTTGTACCAACCTCTTTTCCTTCTAGAGTGTTCTGAAAGCAAATGCAATAATAATACAAACTTAAAAGTGTGAGTTTTTAAAAGCAGTTTTATTTCAAACCAAGCCACATCACCACACAACAGGAAACAAATGAAAACCAGGAAGTGAATTTAATCCATGACACTCATGTGCTTTATCTTCTAATAAATAAATCGTTAATTTTCCTTTGGCTTAGTCTCTTTATTTATCAGAGGGCGTCACATCAGAATGAACCGCCAACTTATCCAGCACATGTTTTACACAGCGGATGCAACCTAGTATTGAGAAACACCCATACATCACGCGGCCATTTTAGTTTATTTAATTCACCTAGAGTGCATGTGTTTGCACTGTGGGGGAAATAACTGGAGCACCAAGAGGAAACCCACACCAAGATGGGGAGAACATGCAAACCCCACACAGAAATGCCAACTAAACCAGTCGGGACTTGAGCTAGCTACCTTCTTGCTGTAAGGCAACAGTGCTCACCACTGAGTCACTGTGTCACCCCCGGCTAAAGACATGTTCAAATCGGTTCAGACGTTGTATTTCAGACATTCGTCTTCAAACAAAAAAAGAAGCTAGTTGATGCAACATTTATGTCAACATTGGACTACGGTGATGTTATCTATATGCATGCTTCGTCTCAAAGTCTGCACGCATTGGATACTGTTTACCATGGTGCACTAAGATTTATATCTAATTTTAAATCTCTTACTCGTCGTTGTGTGCTGTATACTAGGGTAGGTTGGTCTGCTTTGTCCATTCGTAGGCTTAAGCATTGGCATATCCTTGTTTACAAATCTAAACTGGGTTTACTCTCATCATATTTACAGAATAACATAACACAAGTGTGGACTGAGATGGGGGGAAAGGCTTTTAAGTACGCAGCACCCTTCCATGGAATAATCTACAAACAAAGTTGCAGTTTAAAGAGTTGATTCACTAAATGCTTTTAAAAAGAGTATACATGGTTTAGAAGTTGAAACACCGGCTTTTAGATGCTTTGAATAGTTTGTCAGTGTGATTCATGTTAATTGTTTTTTGTTTGTTAGACCCATGTGACATGTGTACTGCCTAATCTCGGCCAGGACACTCTTGTAGAAAAGACTTTTAATCTCAATGTGTATTTCCTGGTAAAATAAAGGTTATAATAAAAATAAAAAACGCTCCTGTGTATAGGACTAGTTTCTTTCACACATTATCCAAATCCTTCTGTTGTGTTTTGACTGTTGTAGCCAGGCCTGGATTGGCTAATCGGGAGGCCTGTTTTTTGGCTGCGACGGTCGGTGGTCCTAGCTGCCTACACTTTCAGCATTTTCACTTTTAGTCATTTATTTGACCACAGCCTCACTTTTTTTATTCATTTGTTTTGCCACAGCCCCATAAGCAAAATGCAGCCTGCAGGTCAATCGACCCCAAACAGCAGCACCTTGGTGAAAATAAGAATTTGAATAATTAATATTAATGAATATTACACCTGCTCAATAAAACATAGATGATTCACTTCATTAATAAGTCTGACATAACTTGATCAGAAATCTAAAAAGGGGAGAATCAACGGTGACAATATAATACTTAGGTGGTCCAGTGGTCAACAACGTTGCATTACAACACTGCCGACCCATGTTTAAACCTCACCTGAACAATTTATTATTATTATTTTTTTTAGTGTTAAGGCAGAAAATACTGTTTAGGTTGCTTATGTACATGTTTTATTTTTAGTGTGACCATCATTACAAAGGACTGGATATCTATAAAGAATTTTGCACAGAATTTATATTCAGATATTGCAAGAAAGGACATTGTGATGTTTTAAAGAATAGTGTGGACCACAGGTGTCAAACTCAGTTCCTAAAGGGCCGCAGCTCTGCACAGTTTAGTTCAACCCTAATTAAACACACCTGATCAAACTAATTGAGTCCTTCAGGCTTGTTTGAAACCTACAGGGTGTTGGAGCAGGGTTGGAACTTAACTGTGTAGGGCTTCGGCCCTCCAGGAATTGAGTTTGACACCGCTGGTGTAGGAGGTTTAGCTACCTTTCATTGTTCTCATATTTATGAAAAACATTTGAAGTTGTAAAGCAGCTGTTTCCTTGAAAAAGACAATCGTGTCATTAGAAACTGAATTGGAAATGATGTTATTTAATATAGTCAGTTGTGAACTGAAGTGGGCTGGTCTAAAGCTTGAAACTCCAGGGCTAAAAAGGAGTCCCACTCTGGTCGTAGCTGTGAAATAAATGAAATCATAAGCGTATATATGGATAATGCAACTGTCATGCGCTCAAAACCTGCTGGAACTACTTTATACCAAAGGCCCTTTAAGCCAAGTAGTTTCACTCGTCGGCCATCTTTAAAATGCCGCTCAGGCAGTATGGGCTTTCTGTTTAAATGGATAAACATCAAATTCTCCAAAATTGCTTGCCAAGCTTATCATTTCATTTCATATTATGAAACAACAATTACATTAAGCAACAACTGTCTCCTTGTGTTCATTTCTAAACGTTTGAGCCACACAAAATCTGCATAAATTTACATCTGGTCAAAGCCCTCCGGAGAAATGTCAGTCGGTAGCGATCGCTGTCTGGTTCTTGTACTGAAAGGCGGGCTTTATTCACCATACAGCGATCGCTGATTGGCTCCTGTGTAGAAGGCGGGGCTTCATTCTCACATTGACAGTTACACTTTTCCCCATTTAAAAGTATAGGAGTGACATGTCTTGTGTATTCTATAGTCTTTGCTTATATCTTCGAATGTTCACCAGCCAATCAGAATCAAGCATTCATTAACATCCTTAGCATAATACAGATTATTAGATATTAAACCTGTGATAAAATCAATATTAATAATCAGATGAATGAATAACTGCGGTTGATTGTTTAAAGAATGATACACTGCCAGCTTTCTGTTGGCGGAGGAGGACGAGCGTTGGAGACCTCAGAGAGAAAGTCCTCTCTGCTCCTGTTGTTGATGATCTGCAGGAGGCCTTGACTCACACGGTAGGTTTTGCTGCTGTCAAAAAGTTTGGCGTCGCTGTGTTCAGTCACATAAACCCTGCTCAGTTTACCATTGCCGTCCTGACGCACAATAATGCGGTCCTTGTTACTGTCAGGTGTATTTCGGCTGTATTTTCCCCTCACATAATCTGGGAGCTCGTCTGCATTTCGGTAATTCAGGTTTCCCACTTCATAGTATGGGAGATTTTGAATGGGCACGATGTGATCTTCATCTTCAATTCTGTTATTAAACTTGTGGAAGCCAAAGTCTCCATTCTCGGGATAGGAGGACTTGGGGATGATTTCCCCGTAACCTATGTCTACATATTCACGAGCAAACCAGTAGAGCAGATTGAGGCCGTGTCTGGGCTCCGGCTGACCGAAGCCTGACTGTTTGAGCTGAGAGAGTTCATTCAGTGTGCCTTTCACCATGATGGAGGATCACTGTGAGGGACAGAAAGAGGAAAAAATATATTAACAGAAAATTATACACTCAAATCATACAAATGCTGGGTTGTTGTAACCCAACGTTGTCGTCAAATTCATGTAAACCAAACCATTGGGTTAAACGTGTGTCTTTTAAATTTTATTAAAATCATAATAAAAAAAACACATGTATATACAGTTGGTCAGAATTATCAGCCCCCTGAATTATTAGACCCACTGTGCATTTTTTTCCCCCAATTTCTGTTTAACGGAGAGATTTTTGTCTACACATTACTACATAATAGTTTTAATAACTCATTTCTAATAACTGATTTATTTTATCTTTGCCATGATGATACCACTTCGATACAGCTTAAAGTGACATTTAAAGGCTTAACTAAATAGGTTAACTAGGCAGGTTAGGGTAATTAGGCAAGTTATTGTATAATAATGGTTTGTTCTGTAGACTATCGAAAAAAAATAGCTTAAAGGGCCTAATAAATTTGACCTTACAATGGCTTTTAAAAAAATTTAAAACTGCTTTTATTCTAGCCTAAATAAAACAAATAAGACTTTCTCCAGAAGAAAAAATATTATCAGACATACTGTGAAAATTTCTTTGCTCTTTTAAACATCATTTAGTAGATATTTAAAAAAAATAAATCAAAGGGGGGCTAATAATTCTTACTACACTAATATATATATATATATATATATATATATATATATATATATATATATATATATATATATATATATATAT